TATAATCTAAGGTAAGTAACACATACACAGGAAATAGTAACAAGGAAACACCAACAATAGATATATACGGATGCAGTAACAGGGAAACACCAACATTATATAGATAGGGATAGATAGCAACAAGGAAACAGCAACAATAGATAGATACGGATGCAGCAACAAGGAAGCACCAACATTATATAGATAGAGATGCAGTAACAGGGAAACACCAACAATAGATAGATAGGGATGCAGTAACAAGGAAACAGCAACAATAGATATATACGGATGCAGCAACAGGGAAACACCAACATTATATAGATAGGGATAGATAGCAACAAGGAAACAGCAACAATAGATAGATACGGATGCAGCAACAAGGAAGCAGCAACAATAGATATATACGGATGCAGCAACAAGGAAGCACCAACATTATATAGATAGGGATAGATAGCAACAAGGAAACAGCAACAATAGATAGATACGGATGCAGCAACAAGGAAGCAGCAACAATAGATATATACGGATGCAGCAACAAGGAAGCACCAACATTATATAGATAGGGATAGATAGCAACAGGGAAACAGCAACAATAGATAGATAGAGATGCAGCAACAGGGAAACAGCAACAATAGATAGATAGGGATGCAGCAACAGGGAAACAGCAACATTAGATAGATAGGGATGCAGCAACAGCATATAGGGAAACAGCAACAGGGAAGCAGCAACAATAGATAGGGAAGCAGTAACACCAGATAGGGATGCAGCAACAGGGAAACAGCAACACCAGATAGGGATGCAGCAACAGGGAAGCAGCAACAATAGATAGGGAAGCAGCAATAGCAGATAGGGAAACAGCAACAGCATATAGGGAAGCAGCAATAGCAGATAGGGAAGCAGCAACAGGGAAGCAGCAACAGCAGAGAGGGAAGCAGCAACAGCAAATAGGGAAGCAGCAGCAGTAAATACGGCAGCAGCAGCAGCAGCAACTCATTTAGCAGTAGAAAAGGTTGTAGGATGGGGAGAGAGGAAGAGGAGCAGCAATAGATGAAGAAAATACAGTAGCAGGACTAGATCAGCAATAAGTAGACAAGTAGTAACTGCAGCAGAAACAGCAACTGCAGCAGCAGCAGCAGCAGCAACTGCAGCAGCAGCAATAACCTGTTATTTTTATGTATTTGTTTGTTTGCTGCAGACCGACAAAGAGGGAGCATGAGACACTTCTTGCTCCTTATAAAACAACACCAGCAACAGCAGCAGCAGCTGCAGCAGCAGCTGCTGCTGCTGCTGCTGCAGCAACAGTCCCTCCTGCCCGCTAGGCAGGATTTAGTAGTAGTTGCTATTGTTGCTGCTGCTGCTGCTGCTGTTGTTGTTGTTGTTGTTGTTGTTGTATTTTATTTTATTTCCTCCTTATATAAATTAAGGAGGAAGAATAACTTTTTCTTCTTTTTTTCTCTTTTTTTTTTTCTTCTTTTCTTCTTAATTATTATTTAAATCTTTTTTTGCTGCCATTCATCTACTTCTTTTCTGCTAAACCCTAAACCCTAAACCCTCCTAAACCCTAAACCCTCCTATGTAGCCTATACCCTCCTAAACCCTAAACCCTCCTAAACCCTAAACCCTCCTAAACCCTAAACCCTAAACCCTTCGCCCTTGCTGGGTAGTGAGGTAGTTTAGCTCCCTTTTGTTACTAACAGAAAAGTTTATCTAAATTCGTCAATAAGAGGTTTAGGGTTTAGGGTTTAGGGTTTAGGGTGCTGTAGGGTGTCAAGGAATAAACATAGATACAGCCAAAAGCCGCAGACACTGCAGCAGCGGCTGCTCATTAGATCTAGCTGCTGCTAGCAGCAGCTAGCTGCAGCTAGCTGCTGCTAGCTGCTGCACTTTAGACAGCAAAGCGCAGCTTAGATCATTGCTGCTGCTGCTGCTGCAGCAGCAGCAGCAGCAGCAAGTTATTTGCTTCTTCGCCCTCTACAACATAATGCCGCCACAACCAGTTAATTCCCACAAACTGCTGCTCCCTCCTGCTGCTGCTGCTGCTGCAGCAGCAGTAGCAGCAGGTGGTGCTCCTACAGCAGCTACAGTAGATGGAGTTACTCCTCCAGCAACTGCAGCAGCTGGGATTGCTGCAGCAGCACCTGGAGTTGCTGCAGCAGCTGCTGCAGTGGCTGCACCAATAGCACCTGCAGTTGCTGCTGCTGCAGCACCAGGTGCTGCTGCAGCACTTGCAGCTTCTCCAGGAACACCGCTAACAGCAGCTGCAGCTGCAGCAGCTGCTGCTGCTGTAAGCTGCAGCAGCAGCAGCTGCACCACCACCAAGCAGCACCAGCTACGCCATCTAAACCAGCGGCGACAGCAGCAGCTGCTGCACCAGCAACTGTATAGCTGCTGCACCAGCTGCTGCACCAGCAACTGTATAGCTGCTGCACCAGCTGCTGCGCGAGCAGCTGTATAGCTGCTGCGTCAGCTGCTGCTGCTGCTGCTGCTGCAGCAGCAGCAGCAGCAGCAGCAGCAGCAAGTCCAAGACACTATACGCTGCCTTATTCAGGTTTAATGGCTTAATGTAGATAATTATTTATATTTGTTTTTATTTATATCTTTATGCATGCAAAAAGACAAAAAGAAAAACAAATAAATAAATAAATAAATAAATAATGCAGCAGCAGCAGCAAGTCTGCTGCTGTTGCTGCTGCTGCTGCTTCGCCCTCCCAATGATGTGCCTCTTGCTGCTGCTGCTGTATAACAATTGCCTCTCTTTATTCTTTACTATTCTTTTATTATTTATTATTTATTATTTATTTATTTATTTATTATTTATTATTTATTATTTATTCTTTTTTATTCTTCTTTTATTAAATAATTAATTTATTATTTATTCTTTGCATGCATACTTGTATAGGCATAGACAGACACACAATGTATTTATTTATATATTTATTTATTTATATATAAACATAAAAAATATATATTAATATATATAAATATAAATATATATAAATAAATATAAATATAAATACATGTATAAATACAAATAAATATATATATAAATATATATAAATTATACATATATTTATGTATACGTACATATATTTACGTAATATTTACGTATATTTACATATATATTTGCATTTATATATTTATGTATATAAATATATATTATATTTATTTATTTATATTTATATGTATTGATATATATTTATACATATAAATATATATTTATATATATATTTATATATGTATATATACACTATATATA